ATAGCACGCGTATTAGAATTCCACACTTTTCTTCTTTGCTTTTTATCGGGGAGGCGCTGTTAGGGCTGCGACGTTTCATTCTCCTTATACTCGTTCCCATATTACCACTATGTATGCTGTCTCAAAAGAAATGTTTATTTTGTGTGTTTGTGTGCAACTTATGATACTTACGTTAATCGCACACGGTTTGATTCTCCCGTAAAAGGGCGTATGCCAGCACTAAAGCGCGAAACACATGTACGACGAAACCGTCCGATCCGACGTGCGGACTGCCGGAATGACCTTGGGGGGAGAGGGTTTTCGTAGCATCGGAGAGCGTGGAAAACCCTCGCCTCCGACCGTCGTATTGCGCGGTCGGACGTCGGATCGGACGGTTTCGTCGTACATGTGTTTCGCGCTTAAAGGGTAACTCCGCTTAATTTCAAAAATTTTGAGATAGTGGCCGATTTTGCTTTTTGAAGCACTCAAAAACAATCCCCAATCCTTTGTTTCGCGAAAAATAAAATATTTTTTGTGTAATTTTACTCTAGCCATGATTACAAACCGAAACCGAAACGGTGGCAAAGCCGGACAACATTGTATATTCGGCATCACTAAGCATGTACACCCACGTGATAAGGGGAAGAAGGAGCTCCCCTCTTATCAGGATCCTCCTTTGTGCCTCCTGGATTAGCACAGGCGTCGCTATTCTCCTCCCAGAAGATTATAGAAGATTAACCTGTCACTCAAAATTCTTATAAAAGCAGCTTCCCTCTCCTCCTTTTACTTGGTGTTCAAAAGTATGCGATGTAACACAAGCCGCGCTCAACGAGGCGATCGGCTTATCAGTTGTATCAGTAGTCGAGCGCCGGGCCGGCCGAGCGCGTCACTCACGCCTTTCACGGCGCTGGCGCCACCCGTGCTCTCCCCGGGAAAGAAAACAAAATTGAAAAAAAAAAGAAGCTGTACATGCTTGATGACGTCGCGGACGTGCCGGGAGAAGGAATTTGGAGGAAGCGGAAATGCAGCCGGGCAGTGTTGTCTGGCCCGCACGTCTCATCCAAAACCAGCGGATTCGTGCTTGTCAAACTTTGACAGCGATTTTAATGAACTTCTAGGCGGAATTCCGTCGTAATATTTGCCATGGGGGTTTTGTAGATGATAACAAAGAGAACTGCATAGTTTTGCACTACTGGAAAAGAAGCGGAGTTGCCCTTCAAAGGCTCTGTTATTCTCCGACGTGAAGCTCAGGGATCGTAGCGTAGCTCAGAGCGTGGGTCTCTGATTGGCCGACGAGTAGGAACTCGATAGCTGCGACCAATCAGTATCGGTGTCCGCTGGGCTACGCCGCGTTTTCTGCGTGTGCTCGACGTCGGAGACTATAACAGAGCCTGAGGAAAGGCCGAAACTGTCGAGAAGCTTTGGCCAGCCCGGAAATGTTAGATGCCGGAAATTTGGGGCAGACCTGTGGAAGGAGGTTGGTGGTCAACTTCGCCATTATGTCGTCTCTGGCAATATCCGTCTCTTGCTCTCTCGCTGCTCAAGTTGCAGCAAGCGCGCGCAATTACTTCGGGACCTCGAACAACGAAAGTGCCATGTGCGCAGAGAAAGCAAAACTGAGAGTTCAAGCGACGAACGGAACTATAGGTCGAAAATCGCACCCTCCCAAAACATTTGCATCATCTCGTCCAATACGAGCTATATGTGTAGCTTGGACTGAAGAAAACAACCAGCGCAGCTCGAAACACGGTGCAATTTCCATCTCCTTACTTTATCCGTACGATTAAGATCGTTCGTTTTTCTTTCTTTATCAGCCACAGATGCCGGAGTCGCAATAGCCTTGTAGCTCTCAAGGTTTGAGCCGCGTCCCAGGCGAGCAAAATCGGATATTTTTAGGTCGCGTGTTCATTGTGCGCCGCGTTGCGTCCTTCACAACGCTCGCATCTTGCCCGTGGACAGACGCTGAGGGACACCGAGAGACTCTGGGAAACGCTACTTCACGCTTATGAATCGTGCATGATGGGACGCTAGGGCACCGTTTCACGTCAACATTAAATGGTCGCGTTTCGCAGACGCTTGCGGGGGCCTCTTTGTTCGTGGTCGCGTCCCGTGTACGCTACAGCCCCCCCCCCCCCCCCCCCCCCCCCCCCCCCCCCCCCCCCCCCCGGGCCGAGAGAAACGGGCCCATAAAGGGCGGAGTGTACCGATGGCGGAAGTGTATACGTGCAGACCCTGCTGTGTGTTTACTTGAGAGACAAGGGAAGAAATACTTGTGAGGTTTGATCGTCGCGCGGTTCGGTTACGCGCTCGCTAAGGCTAAGCACTCGTACTCCAAGCCTTCATTTTCGTCGTAAATGACATATCGTGCACGCGTCGTCTGGAGGGCAAACATTTACGCCATGCTCTACCGAAAAAAAAAAATATATATATATATATGTGTGTGTGTGTGTGTGTGTGTGTGTGTGTGCGTGCGTGCGTGCGTGCGTGTGGACAAGAGCGCGTGTTCGCAGTGTTTCTGCTGGTTTTCCCTTCGTTTTCAAAACACAAAAAGGAATGGAACGTAAAGGACTTTTGTCTTCATTTCGAGGGTGCTGTTATTAGGGTTGTTTTCCAGAACGATAACTCTCACTTCTGCCACTCCTTTTTCGGTAGAATTCAGTTACGAGTAGTCTACCTGACCGAGGCTTTTGACCGTCTAACCTGATCGAGACTTCTGTTTGTTTGTTTCAGAAGGCTCTATTGGGGGGGTTTCAAAAACCATCTGCTTGCTCTTTATCATTTCTTTAGCTGGTTTTTAATGTACAGCAGTATTCAGCGTTGTTCGTATATAATATATTGCATGCCCCCGTGGTAGGAGTCAAGTTCCCCGATCCGACGCGCCTCAAACTACGCATTTTCGTGATACCTGCATGGCCGCTCGGCGACCTCCCTCCACGACTTTCCGCCATAGCATCGAGCTCCTAACCAGCATAGAATATTACCGTGATCCGCGAATGTTACCTGCACCCATTGTCATTCGTGACCGAAACATGTCCGTGGAAGAGGAAAAAAAAAAAAAAAAAAAAAGCCATATGCGAGTCCCTGGGCAACGCTCGAAATCGAAAGCAATCACATTACGGCGGACACGCTTCGTGTTCGGAGAGCATTTCGACATTCCGGTCAACGCTGCCGCGCGATGCGCAGCCACAGCTTATCTTACGTCGAACGTCACGGTGGTGACGTCACTCTGACCTCTTGTGACACGGTTGTGACGCAGCCTGTGACGTAGCTGTGATGTATCCTATTGCAGTCTGGGGTCGCCGTGTTTTTGGCGTGAAGGTCGCGGGCGTGGGCGTCCCACTTTTGCGTCAGCCCGCGGCAATTAGTGCGATTCGGTGCGCTGATTAGTCCGTTAATGGAGGTCGACTTTGACCGGATGTCTGGCGATGTTGGGGGAACGCGCGCTTGCGGGAGCGTCTGGCGTTGGTGCGGCGTCTACAACCGCGGGGCCCCCTGTCGGAGGTGATTCGAACGTGTGGTGCGTGCATGGCTTAAATGCCGGGGGAACAGATAGTTCGCGAGCTTTGTGCTTTATAAATGAGAGTAAAGCGAAACATTTTCTTATTATCGTTCAATCTCCGGTGATGGGAATGAACGAGGAGCTTTTTTCCTTTCCTTTTGTGCTTCCCGAATAAGGTGGTTACTATTACCACGAAGCCGTGAAATTCCGAGGTTAAGAAGTCGAGGAGTCTGCAGTTGCTAGAGCTCGAGCGTGGATTGTCTTGCATTTCATACATCTCTATTCAACTTTAAATAAAGCATTGGTTCATGTAGTGTCGTTCGAATATCTTCTTTCTTTTTTAAACTAGGCTACATAGATCCGTGTTCATTACGCTCAGATAAACTGAACTTATTTTGGTCCTTATAATAATTAAGTTTCGCGGTTAAAAATTTGTGGCTCACGGAGGTCTGATCTTTGCGAGATAATACTGCCGCGTGCATGATCGAGAAGGAACGCTTCTCCGTACATCTATAAGATTCGTGTTTATTATTACGCCGAGCGCAGACGATGAGGAGGCCAGAAGGACCTTGCCTAGTCATTCTGGAAAAAAAGTTCCAGCCTTTTTCATCCGCGAAAATATCCGTGTAGGGCCGAGTTCCATGTGGCCTCGGTTAGTTTGACTACGCAAAGGAACGGCAGCGTTTCGTATGCTTTCGTGTTAGTCGCATACGTGTTCATCGACAAACAGGCAAAACGGGCGCGAAAGTCTTTTTATGTCCTCGACTACGAGCTCGAGTGAACTTGGAGCGGTAAACCGGCAGCCAAAAATGGCGCCCCCCTGTTCCCGCCACCTTGCCCGTTTCTTGAGACGGGCAAGATGGCGGCAACCGGAAAGGGGGGGAGGGAAAGGGGGGGTGCCATTTCCGCTGCAGGCCTTGGGTTGCGGTTTACCGCTCTAAGGTGGATACTCAAACTCGTTGGTCCTCCATGATAAGAGGTAGAAGCCTCCTCTTTATAGTTTTCTATCCAGGCTGTATTGCGATCAATTCCAAAGTAGATTCTGCGGCCCCGTTTCGACTTCTTTTTTTCTTTGCCTCGAATTCGCTGGAAAATAAATTACGAATCGCGATGTTTTCAAGATATTCACTTGCGTTTCATTCGGAGTATTGCGGAGGTTTGATGCGTGTTTACCACGTGTTGTGCAGTTGTTGGTATGTTGTGCGACGTGTCCGAGGCTTGCGTATACCTTTCGCTGTGCTTCGACGCTGTCGGAGCTGCTTGCACGAGCGCGTGGCTTCGTTTGGCGTCACCTTCGTACGAGAGCGCGTGCGGATGACGCCCAATGAGAACTTGAGCTCTCTCGCAGCATCCCGGGGCTGCAGCCGCGTGGAAGCTGGGCTGGCCTCGACGATATTTCGAGAAATCGATTAGGCGAAGCACAGATGCCTACTATGCTGGTTGTGTTGTATACATGCTTGCTACGTGTGTTACGTTACGTGCGGGTCACTGATTGTTTTCCTGCTCTCTTTTTATCTTGCAGTCACTGGAGCGAACCCGGAATATGATATCATTATGTGACGAGGTGAGTGCGTTCCTGTTTTTTTTTGTTCTTGTCTGTGTGCGCGTGTCTTTGCATCTAAATTGTATTTCTTTTCTATGTTTATCAAAGGATACTTTTGAAGATTAGTGAGATATAAACACCACTTGTCTTTTTGTGCTTGCCCAAAAGAAGAAATGGCGATAATAGAGGGTTTTGGTGTTGCGTACCCAAAAGGTTTCCATTAGGAAAGAAATAGCCTCGTCGCCACTGGGCATATACGCCAAGCCCAAACCACGTTTGAATTGGCGCATGGCGATGACGCTGTTTCCTTTGCGTGCGCAAAGTTTTTGGGTGGGTCGGGGAACTTAGCAATTGCGCATGTTTGTTCTAGACTCGTCTTTGTGTTTGTGTGTGAGTGTTTGTTAGACGGGTACAGGTGATTTTTCGGGTTGTTCACCTATGCTCTGTTCACCGCCAAGTTGTCGGCGGTGGAAGCGCTCGTCTGCTCCATCAATCGCTCGCCTTTCATTGCCTGACCCCGCCCTCTGGGCGGTATACCGCACACGGAGAGAACGTGATCCCCCGCGGTTTAACGAGCACGGCTGCCACCGCCCCGCCAGCCTAAACCTTCAAACGGTGTCGTATATTAGACTAAACCGAAAGTGTCTTAATATAGTATATTTTATTCGTATACGTGGCTCGTCGTATATGGGATAAGATGTCGAGTGTTTGTATGTGTATGTACGTGTTTGCCTGCTTGTACACCCGCCGGCATTATGAAGGTGAACACCTTACCTGGTTCCTTGCCTGTTTTACGGCTCCCTAAAGCTATATTAACCCTCAACGTCTCAACTGGTTCGTTGCTTGGGGTTTAAACTTTGCGTTCTAGCCCTCTTCTGGAACAGAGCTCTTTCTAAAACTTGCAGGAGCGTCAAAAACAAGAAGAGGGCTCTTCATCTTCATATCGCTCATGGGTGTACGTACTGTTGAGACCGGTTATTACGAAATAGCGGCTGCAGCGAAGCGATTACGATTTCCCATTCTCTTTTGCACTTCGTTATAACCAAAGTCGAGTATAACGAGATAGCGGATATATCCGAGTCATTTCCGATTCCCGTTGACTTCGTTATAACCAGTCTCGTCAGTATCGAAGGGATATTCATTCCGCGGTTAAAACCGGCGAACGAACCACGCTTCGGTGTACCGGCACTTGAGCCATATGTTGGTGCTTAGACATCAGTGTTGCCCCTTTATCCGAAGCTTTCTCTAAAATTGCAGGAAACGCTTTCCCGTTCTCCAAAAACGTTAAAAACAATCCACGATAAAATCAAGAAGAAAAAAAAAAACGATATTGCCCGAGCGTATTTTGACACCGTGTCGTAATGCTCAGGAAGCCGCATTTTCGAATAGTAAAGATCGTCAACGAGACCCTTTCCAAAAGTCCGCTCATCGTCTGTCCCACATTGCTTGTTCACATACTGTGAGCATGTATTAAACGTAAGTATTTGAGAATTAAAACAGTGCAAACGACGAAGGGAACCAGATGAAAAGAGAGACAGACGCAGCGCTGTTCAGCGCTGTGTCTCTCTTCATCTGGTTCCCGTCCTCCTGCGCGCTGTTTTAATTCTCAGATATGTCGTACCACCCGGCCCAAGCCCCAACGCGTGTATTGAAAACGAGCGTGACGTCAGCGTTCGGCGAAGACTCGGATCCAATCACGCGCGTCGTGTCCATGCCAAGGCGACCGCCAGTCTTGCTTGACGAACTTTTGAAGAGAGTCTTTTGGGCCCGCTCTGCACTAAGGCACCAAGATGGCGGCGCCGACGAGAAACCTCGGCGAGCGGGGTGCCGGTACTCTGAAGTCCGGCTCACAGATTAGCGTTTCAGTGTACCCGGGTGCGTTGTAACCGCTTGTCATTGCTACTAGAGAGCGCGATCACCCGACCCGATCCACTGGCGCCACCCATCGGGCGTCCTCAGAACAGTTCTGATCTCCGTATAGCTGTACCGAAGACGGTTGTTTGCGGTATTTGCGAGATGAAATCCACGCGCCGTGTATGAGAAAATGGCCCGCTTATAACTTCGTTAAAATTATCTCGAGCCCTTAAAAGAAAACAATAATGCGTACAAAAATTTAGAAAATATATGCGCAGGTCGGATATTGTTCCGGGGCCACTCGGTAGATGGCACCAGTGGGTTCTCTCTCCGTAAGCGGTTTCGAGTGTGTGAATCGGCCGTGAGTGTGGTTCGCTTTGTGGCCCTATAGTTTACGTGAAATCTTCAAGTTACCCAGATGGAGAGGTTTTTGTTGTTCGCCCTCAAGAAAAGCCGACAGGATTTCATTCGCAAAAACATCATTACGTTTGAATGACGTGAGAGAGTCCCCGATTAATTCTCGTAACGGTGATTGTTTACATCGTAGAGATGTTTTGAATCCTTGGTCGAAAAAAAAAAAAGGCGGACGCGGCGTTTGACGTAAAGGTCACGTTTACGCGAGGACGGATAAGTCGACTCGGTCCCTTATTCGCGTGTCGAGAGAAAAGGTCGTCGGGTGGAATCAGAACGAGGCAATATATATCCTCTTTGGGGACTGCTAAGCCGTCTCAGTGCTGTCAGAGCTATGCGTCCGTCGCGGCTATCCCCCGAGGCCACTATATTGCCACTTTAGCTCCCTAATATCCCCGAATGATCCCTGTATCGGCATTCTTTACATTTATATGTTCTCTGGTGTAGTCACGTTTGTGTTAGTGATCACTTTGAACGACGACATGATTATGTGGTGAGTCTAAAAGTTTTCAACTTAGATGTTAGACAGTAAAAAAAGTTTTCTTTTTTTGTGTGTGTATTTCGAGGGAAGAGGCTTCCCATAAGTTCCTAGAAATATCGACGACTAGAGACGATTTGAGGGAAAACGGCCGGGTGGTGCATATCTTTGCGTTTGCTGTGTCGCCTGTACCGATCGCGTGCCGCTAATACGAGGTGTGGCAGAAGAGTAGAGACTCATTTTCTTTTTATCGTGAATTTTAATATTTTTACAAATGAAGGTTGTCCCCTTCAAAGTAGTTCCCTCGTACAACTACGCACCGACGGAGGCGCTGTTTCCATTATTCGTAGCAGTGCTGAAAGGCTTCTGCTGGAATGCCTTTCAGCTCGTCGATTACGCTCTTCAGGACGTTACCAAAGCACCAAAATGGGGCCCTGTCTATAGTCAGTTACAGGCTAAGAAAAGTTTTCGAGAGAAAGAAAGGCTGGGGAGGAGGAAGCAGACGGAATGCTGGAGAGGAGAAAAGGTTTCGTCCTCTCTCCAGTATTCCGCTTGCTTCCTCCTCCCCAGCCCTCCTTTCCCTCGAAAGCTTTTCTTAACCTGTGACTAACTATAGTGCGCTTTGAGCCGGTGAACTTAAAAGAAGTCACAAGGACTCTGATTCGTCGGATTGGGAAGGGAGATCGGTGGCCGAGTGCTCTAGCGCACACCAGCTCGGAGCACGTGCGAAAGCTCGCGCTGTAGAACCCAGGAATCCTGGGTTCCATCCCCACCCCTGCCCGTTTCGACCTGGATGAGTATCGTACCGGCGTGCAGTCGTGCATCACTGCTGCGTGGTGCACGTTAAAGACCCCAGGTTAGCGGTTGTACCGCACTGGCTAAATTGCTCATCTACAACTGAGACACCAGACGCCCACTGACGCAGACTAACTTCCGGCCGTATAAACATACGCACAACAATTTGCTTGCTTTGCTGATTAGGAAAGGGGGGGAGGGGGGGGGGGGAAGGGGGGCAGAAGAAGACAGGAATGTCTTCTTCTGCCAAATGTTAATTGATGCAGCATCCAAGTGTGTGCAATGCCTGGTCGCACAAGTGCCACCATCTTCCTGAGTATCTCAAGTACTACCCGATAAAACGTTTGATTGGCAGTTTGTCCTGGAGGCACATATTCTTTGTGGAAGATCCCCTGACTGTCAAAAAAACGAACAAATGAGCATTGATTTGATTTTCAATTTGATGGCACAACGCTGCTCAAAATTTTGCCGGTCCATTTTCGTAACGCACCTCACAAACACAACTACTTTACTTGAGACGCTCTCAACAATCGTGTGCCAACTGTAGCAAGTTCAAAGTTATACTGAGTCTACAGAGGGGTTAACCTATCTGCCCTGGGAAAGGTAATCCGGCAGCATTGTCGGTTCGCTCACTGTGTTGCCAGTCTCAGTGCTTTTCTGCCGCACTTCGTATGTTACGCGAGTCACCTGACACCCGTCCTGTGTCTGAGGGGACTTAAATAATGTAGCTCTTTGGAAACACCAGATTGGTTTCGTACAGCTCGCAACTTCAGCTTCCAGTTAGAGAGGAGGGTGAATTGGCTCTAGTGTACTCTACTTTCTGCTCTATTCGCTAGCCCCTTAGCCGTTTTGGACGAGCCTAGCTCGGCCACCTAGAGCCGTCCTTCCTCAATACTCACAAAGCCTGGCAGTTGGACGACGGAGCCATAGATCGAGTGCCCGGTCGCAGATTTGGAGCCCGAGGATCTGGTATAGCACAGAGCAATTCTCGGGGAATCTGGACGTCAGCGCACAGCTCTTGCAGCGCGGCGAGGACTCAAAACACACTTGTTCGCTCGGGAGAAATGTGTTTCGGCGTCTCGCCGCAGCGGGGCGCCAGTCACGTGGCTCTCCTCTCGCCCGTTGTCTGCCGCTCCACCTTTTCCATTTCGGCGGCCGCTTCTCGTGGCGATCTGCCGGGCTTTGTCAGTACTATATAGGAGGCTATGTGCGTCCCCAAGCCGCTTATTACGAGTGTAGCTCGTCCGCGCACCTTCCCTCGCCCCTTGGCTGTTTTGGACGGCCAAGGCTCGTTCAAAGCTTAGTTTGCGGTACTGACGAGAGATGGTAGCACGTGTTTATTTTTTATTTTACACGTTTTTTTATTGTTTTTTTTTTAATGGCGATTAGTGCTGGAGACACGTTCGGCCCAATCTGCACGTGCAATACAAATGAGAAAAAAAAAACAGCTTAGGGTTGAAAATTGTCAAAAATATAAAATGGCTAAGAGGCTAGTATAGTTTCGTGTACTCTGATGTACCCTACTCTAATATACTTGACTGTACCCTACAGTAGTTCTACGTTCCTGTTATATTCTTTATTATAGGTAGCACTTTTTAACTTTCGGGACTGTGCGCTTTGTTCTATCTTGTGCGCGGGGAAAGGAATGTATAATGACCGGTGTCGCCCGATTAGCTTGCTGTATTTTACTTTTTGCGGGGCGCGTCGTCTTAAGGTCATTTTTTTATAAGTTCGTCTATTTATATGTTGGTACCCCTGAAAAAAGAAATAGTCACATTGTGAATGGGGTGTGTTTTTGTTCGATGGTTTTCTAATGAACAGATTGGCGAAGGCAATTGAACTGATTAGTGGCAGTGAAGTTCTACTTCGACGTCGGGACCCTAAAGTTCGGGAGGGTGACCTTGAATCATGCTTTTCTCAAGAAGTCTTAGTTTCGAAAGTCGGTTTTTATTTTTCTTCGCGGTGGAAAGTTGTATTTGCAACAATCGCATAAAGATTTTTTTTTTTTACGTTTAGTTTTAATTGTTTTACGTATGCTATCGCATTAAAGTTACGTAACTGCGGAGGGTCTCTCTGTTTAGCCTAGACCATTCGCATCCCCGTCTTAGCTGCAGGAGTAATCTTCGCAAATGGAGCGCTCCATAGACGTACGTAGAGAAAGGAAAATGACGTCTGTAGAGACCTTAATAAATGACTCGCTCGATTTTGCAGTACGGTATATATTCCCAGGACTGGCGTATCTGGAATGGTTTTCGCTAGAATTCGGGTTCCATTACTTTTAATATGGGGTTTCTCTTTCATTTCCAATTGCATTTCCGTCGCTTTTTTTTTTTAATCCAGATGGTGGCAGGACCTTGAGATTTTCTTTCTTATTTTTGATCTGGTGGTCATTCATTCTTTTACGCAATTTTTTTATTTATTTATTGCGTGCTACAAAAATCTAGAGGGGGACTAACGTTTACGCATGGCGCGTTTTATTCGTCGTGTCGCTGTTTTGTCTGTTTCTATTTATTTCGTGTTCCCCCCCACCCTTTTTTTTTTTTCGCGTCGGCAGTTTGTCTAAACGTTTCTGTCCTTGTTTGATTTCTTTGTTTCTGTTTAAATGATCGCCCCATTACCCCGACCTTTGTCTGCTTCGAGGAGAGCAAACAAAATAAGTCGCATACATACGAAACTGGCGCCGCCATTTTGGAGATTGTCCGCTTCCGTTTCCTCCCTCGCTCTTGTCCTGTCTTTTTTTTTTCCTGTTTTGTTTGTTTTTGCGGGCGACAGCAACGCTGAGAAAATTGTAGTTTTCATTCTTTTTCTTCCTGTTTCCTGGAGCGGCTTTACTGTTCTTCGAAATGTTGGTCTTTTTTATTTATCTTCATTTTTGTGGCGCTTTTTTTTTAACTCTGCTGTTTGGCGTGTCTCCTTTTTATTCGTCTTTAATTTCCGGTTCCTGGCGCCCCGCGTATTTCCTTGTCTTTGCGTAGGATTCGCGCTCTTAATCGTCTGCCGAAGAGCCCGCCATGCTCGCAAACGAACAGTCAGAAGCTCGCATTGACCCTGAGATCGACTGGCCCGAATCACGTCAGAGGCGAAAGACTGATACGAGACTGCCATCACGCAACTTCGAAACCCTATTTCATGTGTGCTGTCCGCGAAAACCCAACATGCGATGGTGCGAAACGTCTACACCATCATCTGTGAAAAGAGACTGTTTGGGTGTCGCAGAAACAATAGCGTGAGGGCTGCTTCTTTTTCTTTTTCTTTTTTTTACTTCGTTGTCCAACCCATTTATTTTTATTATTATCTTGAATGGTGGGTCTCGTTTTCTTCTTTTTATTTTTATTACACTGAGCGGTTCTGAGTTTGTTTGGGGCTGTTTTTTTGCGTTTATTCGGACTCTGCACTCCCTCTGGTCGATTGTGAGCACTTTTCGTTCTAGGCTTGTAGCGATAAGAACATGACACATCTGTCAGCCGACTTGACAGGAAGTCTCCAATCCGTCTTATTTGTCGTTTAGTCGATATAGACTAAAAACGACGTGTTTTTTTGTTTTTTTTGTTCAGAGTGTACTCCATGTTTGTGATATCTTGCGAACGACGACTGCCATCTCGCAGTCGTTGTAAAAGTCAACCGTTTCCGCCTTCCGTTTCTTTTTTAACACCATTCTTTTCTCTCTTTTTTTGCGTTTTTTGCGAGTTTTCTATCAGGTGTTTTGTTCCCCTAAGCCGCTTTCGTTTATGTTTTACTAAAGAATCCCTCCAAGCTTAGTGAATGTACTCAGCGCTATGTTGGTTTTGTGAAGGCTCCTTTTTTTCGCGGGTTTACGGAGAAAAGTAAAATTAAAATTGTAGAGGCTAAATATCGTACATTGCAGTCGTAGGCTCTAACTTTCCAGCGACAACCTTTTTCGCGCGGCAATAAAGTGAGTAATGGTCGCAGTTTCTTTTTTCTTCCTTTTTCTTCAGATGGCCTCAGTTCCTCGATGGCTGTTTTCGTTGAATGGTGTCAGTGAATGAAAAAATCCTGTCGGCTTGGGCAGTTCATGAATATAACGTCTTTTCGTAGCTACTTTCAACTCCTACGCAACTTTTTTTCTTGCTTGTAACCGGCGTTCTTCACGTGTAAGGTTAGCAGAAATTCTTCTCGGGGGGTGGCTGGGCTTGTGTGTTTGTTTTTATGTTTGTGTCCTTGTGTGTTTGTGTAGAGGGAAGCGGGTGGACCGAATGATGGGATGATATATTGAGTTTGGCTGTTTAAGGATTGATGGTTCGCCAACTTGTGATGTGAGCGCATTGTGGTGCAGTGTGCCGTGTGAATTTTTTTAGAGTTATTCTTGTTGTTGCTGACGCTTTCAGTTTTTTTTTTTTTTTTGGCTAAGGTTGTTTGTTGGCGCCTGAAATCGTCTGGAAGGAAGTGCATTTTTATTTTAGAAATGGTTCTTTGAAGTGTAGAGCGCTTCGATCTGGGTCCTTTTGGCATTGTCGTGAATGTCCACGCGCAAATATATTTTTTGGGGGGATACGAGCTAGGGAGGCAGTCCGAAAATATATCTAGTTTATGAGCGTCTCTATACAAGGTCAGACAGTCGCGGAGTGCCTGAGAAGGACAGAGTGCTTGTTGTCCGCTAGTGGTAGCCATTTTCGTTTCTTTTGATTGGCTCCTTCTGGTATGTTACGAACGAGTCTCTAAGATCATTGGTTGTGACTTGTGATGCCCGATGCGGGTCTTGTTTAGTCGCATTCTATATTTATTAATTGTTTATTTTACTGCCTAGAGGTACCCGTAGTCAAAGTAGACCAGGATACACCGCGACAGCCCTGCTCGTCTTCCTCTCTGCGCTGACGTAAACAAAATATGCTTGTGCGACGGTTATTCCTTGTGTCGGTGCAGACAGCCTTACCGATAAGGACCTTCATCGTGTGTTCTGTCTGGTGTTGTCTGCGACTGTGACGCTGTGTTTAGGATATACCGTGGTGTTAAGTGTCTCGTTGTCTTCCGATTTCCCGTTGTTTCTTTAGAGCAAGGAAGCCGGGATTCGAACTTTAGTGGCTCTGGACGAGCAAGGAGGTAAGGCTGCGTGGCAAACGCAGATGTTGTTACGTCACGTGGTACGAGAGTGACGTCATTGATTCTGTGCTTGTGATTGGCTCGTGTAGCGGGCTCGCTGGCTAGCACCTGGCGCGGCTCGCTGCTTGACGATTTTGTTTTTGCGGCGTTGACTGTGTGTGCACTGTCATTTGCACGGTTGTTGTCATTTGGGTATTGCGGGTATGTGTTTTGTTTTTCTAAGGTCCCGTTTTTGGTTTATATTCTCGTTCGGCTCTTTTTGGAGCGGAGCGCGCTACTCTCGAAAACCTGCTGTGTACAGGGATCGACCTTGTTCGATATTATGAGTAGCTCGTGATTGGTGGGTTCCCAAAAGTCTAAACGGCATTAAAATACGCGGAAAGTGGTGCGCATGCGCGAAGACCGAAAATGGACTGAAGAGAAAATCGGCTCCCGGTACATTTGTGCTCCGAGATTTTGACCTCTATGTGTAATTCTTAGAGCGCAACCTCTATTTTCTCAATGGTCTGCAGTAGTTTCATTAGGGCCCCCATTATTACCTTCTTATATTATTACCTCATTTTTGCTTCATTCGGGATATCGTTAATCTGTCATCTGCAAGGTTAATTAGCAGGTTTTGGAAGAAGCGCGTAGTTCCTTTTTTTGTTGTTTTCGTTTATTCTTTTACTTGCTGCTGGAGTTTCTTTTTGTTTAACCATTTTCGCCGTACACAAATCTTGGTTCATCTAATTTACTTGTTTTATTTCTTTTTTCTTTTCTTTTTTGCTTTTGCTTTCATGTTTCTCCCTCGGATGGCCTTGCCTGCTTTGGGGGGGCGCACTCAATCGCACACTTGTCCACCGTTCACCGTCGCCTGTGCCCGTGCTGCCACCTTTTTTGCCACCGCCACCACCACCGTCGGCACCGTTCATGAATGGCAACCCCTCGCCACCACTGCCCGTCTCACCCTCCTCCTCCTCACCGTTCCCTGGTTGCCGGACTTCGCGCCGAAAAAAAAAATAGGCGCAAGATGCTGGCGTCAAAACCATCGTGGCACTAGATCACCAAGGGGGTAAGAAAAACGGGCTGCTGCGAACGTTCGGGAGGCAACGAAAAGGAAACAATTGGTTTCCTCTCTCGGTTCATTTCCCAGCGAGCGTCTTAAATGCATCACATTTATAGGGGAATCTTCGCGCTCTTCCGTTTGCGGGCACCGTAGGAGGGCCGCTGAAAAATTCTCATTTCGACGGCTTTTTTTTTCGTATATAGGAACCAGTCGTTATGACGCGAGAGGTTACACTATTGCGTGGCACCACAGAGGACCTGTAAACGCTACGCATTTAAAGTGCACTTGGAACGACAGCACGGTGGCGCGCCATCGAGGTTACGTCCACCGACACGAAAACCTTAGAAATGCTACGCATTTATTAGAGCCCGAACGTAGGCACCACCGTGGCGTTGTTTTGTAACGCGACGTAACATTTATGGAATGGTCCTGTTTGAAGAAGCCGTATCGTGGAACCGCGGACCACGTGTTTCGCACTTGGAAGACGAGCTTCTCTTTGCCAGAGGCTCGAAATCGGCCAGTATTCGCTCGTGGCAGTGCTTACGATAATATGCCAAAGTTTCAAATCTGTCGTTAGTGGTTTAAAAAGCTTGACGAGAAAGCGAACAAACAAAAGATTACTTCGAAATTTAGGCGCACTACTGCTCGTGTGCTTCGAGCGTCTCCATCTGCGTGGCGTTTCACTTCGGTATCTGCGAGTTTCTCGACCTCCGGTTACGCCGGGGTCATACACCAGTCACCGCAACATCCGTGGTTCGAATGCCCAGTGCCAAAGTTCCCTCCAGAATTATTTTGCGGCAAAAAAAAAAGACGAAACAAATGAACTTGTAAATTTTTTGGGGAGGGCACGTTGTACAAGATGACACGCTAAACGCTACTCCGTGAACGAACAAGTTTTGCCTAAAGGCGATCAACAGTGAAGACCTAAAGAACAAAAGAAAAGTGAAATCTCGCTATTCAATAATAGTGAACTGCAGTTAAAAAGAAAAAATATTCTAACGACATTCGCGATGTCGTGCGTAGCATTCTCGTTTGAATTTTCGTTTTAAATTTAGGCAGAAAACGATCGCGCGGTTGTTAGAAAAAGGACATTCCGGAGCAGTCAGGAATAGTACTGCGTTTGTAGCGAAGCGGTTATTCATCTTTGATATTTTGTATTTTATTTTCGGCGTCTTTTAAGACTCGTCGGCCTTTCAGTTTATTAATGGTATAGAGAGAGGTGGCTTTACATTTTATCGGACCTTTTTTTTTTCTTTTTTTACGAGTTTGGCATCATTAGATATGAAACTCGTTCGATGCACGTTTTAGTGTTCTCGTTCATTTGTGTGTTCTTAAAAAGTTGAATTAATGAGGGAAGCTCGGTGCGTTTCTCGAATTGATGTGTAGTGCCTTTGAAATCCTGAACGTTCTTATGTCGCACATTAATACTAAGATTTTGTTGTTGTCGTTTTGGAGTCCGGAAATTACTTTTGCTCGGCGCTCTAACAATCGCCCTCAGGCTGAGTGTCTTCAAACGCGCAAAGGGCGACATGGAGTAAGATGATAATAGAGGACGAAACATATGTTTCTCTGCCGAGATCATTGAAGCCTGTGCTTGAGTGCTTTACGTAGACGCGTGCATCAAACAAACGAGCGTTCAAACTGGAAACGGCACCGTCTCTTCGATTATGTTGGCCAAACTATCTTGGTCGCTTTGTGATGTCGCACGCCTTAGGTCTGGACCACCTGGTGTGAACTAAGTGTTGGTCGCCATGTTGCCGAAGACTGCCTGTTGCGTTAGCTCCGAGCTCTGCTTTTGCATGCGCGTCTTTGCCGCGCGCTTTAGCGCCACACTGCGTTTTTGAACCCGCAATAGCACGACCTTTTGCATGGCGTCCGAAGCGCGCTTTTTTTTTTTTTTTTTTTGTGCTTTGCAGACGTGTGAATCTTTGCAGTGGCTTGATGTATACTTGTAGATGATGTACAGAAATATCAGGAAAAGCCAGGATCTGACAAAGAATCTGTTTCTCGCTCACGTTTCTTTTTTCTCGGTACACTTGTGAAATATCTGGCTTCCAAATTTTATGAAACAATTTGATTCGGACGGTACCTTGCGCCACCTATCCAGTCTTTTTGCCTGTAGTTTCCACGATAAGTACGTACGCTATTGGTGGATATTTGTGAGACCTGCGTAACGCTACCGAGGGAGCCGCGTTGCTTTCTTAATAAAGTCTGGTTAAATATATGGAGTTCCGAACCTGTGACGTGAGGGTGCCATGGACACTCCAAAATGATTCTAGGTTAATTCCAATTACGGTAGTTCATTTCTTTCCACTTAATATCACCCCAAACCTTTCAGACTACGCACACTGCCACCGCAAGCAAAGGTTTTGTGAAAGCTCAGCCGTGACATAAAAAGCGGAAATTAGAGGATGGAAGTTAGTCGAAGTTAACGTCTACCGCCTTCGACGTTGCGGTGCGGGCCCCTCGGGGTGACTGAGGATTTCGGGATTGCAATCGGCTTTTGAAGAAAGTGAATGCGCCTTTATGGAAATCGAAATCGACGGATGATTTTCCTCCAAGTCGACGACATTCGACGGCGGTGTCTATTCGTTCGTCCACTTCACCACCCATAAGCTAATCCGCTCTGTCGGTTCCGTAAGGCGCATCAGTCGACCGACCTGGAGTGTGGATTGTGCTTCGTTCGCGTGTAAGGGTGGAATCGACACGCTGTCTCCCTGATTGAGTCGATTAGCGTCGTCTGCGTGTGAGTGCGACCGGCGGTACGTCTGATTGGTGTCTTTCGTGCCTGTGTGCGCTTCTGTTTTCGCGTGAACGCAGAACAACTGGACCGAATCGAGGAAGACATGGACAAGATCAACGCGGACATGAAGGAAGCCGAGAAGAATCTCACCGGCATGGAGAAATGCTGCGGCATCTGCGTCTGCCCCTGCCAGAAGTGAGTCAGCCCCTTGCACTCTGTTTTGTCTCGGATGGCGACGGACAGTGAAACCTTTCCAGGGAAGATCGGCGACAGGGGCGGCGTAAACTTTACTGACTGGTGCATTTAGAGATATGTATTTCGGAGCCTCTTTCAAAATAGCAGTAAAATACGTCGAGAAAGAAGCCGTGAAATTAAAATTTGCGAAGACGTGTTGAAGACGTGCCAAACCATAGCCTCCTCTATACTGACATAGCCTGGCAGATCGCCTCGAGAAGCGGCCGCTCAAATGGAAAAGGTGGAGCGGCAGACAGCGGATGAGAGGAGAGCCACGTGACTGGCGCCCCGCTGCGGCGAGGCGCCGACACACACTTCTCTTGAGCGAACGAGTGTGTTTCGGGTCCCCGCCGCTGCAAAAGCTGTGCGCTGACGTCCAGGTTCCCCGAGAAATGGCTCTTTGATGCTCTGGGCTACCAGATCCTCGCGCTCCAAATCTGCGACCGTGCACTCTACGGCTCCGTCGTCGAACTGCCAGGCTTTGTGAGTGTAGAGGAGGCTATGGCCAAAACACCATGTTCCGCAGTCATAAACTGTGTTCGGGCCATCATAGTCGTCACTGTATTCTGGTGGGCTCGTAGTACGCGTTGTGGGTCATCTTAAAGGACACATGCAAAGGAAAAAAACATTTTTTTTAAACGGCTTAGATGGAAAAAGGACGCCATAAAACGATTTTACAACGAAGAAAAAAAGTTTTTAGAGCTATATTTACGGCGCAAAACGAATTTGTAGTTGACGCCCGCGGGCACCGCGGAAAAGTGGTCTGTATGTATCACGTGACTGGTCTTTATTTATCACGTGGTGCTTGCGTTCTTTCGGAAGCTTCCTATGGCCTCTAAAAGTAACTTATTCATCTTTGTTTGAAGTATAACAAAAAACTAAGATGAATAAGTAACTTTTAGAGCCCAAAGGAAACTCCTGAAAAAGCGCAAGCAGACGTGATAGACCTGTGCGCCGGCCAGACGACGGCGGCGGCGCCCCGAAGCAGACGAACTTGTGCGGCGGCGGCGACGGCGGCGTGGAGAAACGCGTTGAAGCGGCGTTCGCAGAACGCTCAGCGTGCGGCGGCGACGCAGCGCGGCGGCGCGCGGGCCTACCACGTGACCAGCGGCGGCTCCCGCGAGCGCCAACTACAAATTCGTATAGCGCCGTAAATATAGCTCTAAATTTTTTTTCTTCGTTGTAAAATCGTTTTATGACATCTTTATTCCATCTAAGCTGTCTAAAAAAATGTTTTTTTCCTTTGCATGTGTCCTTTAAGGTGGAACATACAGTGTGGATCACCGTGGCGGCGTCGAGTTCGCGTCTGCATGACGCATTGGAGGCGTCTCATGGCGAACGGATGACGCACAAACGTCTGCCATTTTAACGGGTGCACGTCGTCTAGATTAAAATAAGGATACCGACTTGACATAAGGTAAAAAAGCAATTTCAGGAATTAATTAAATGCGATTATCTTTCGTGTCAAGTCGGCTTTTTGGGGGTATTGTTTTCATTTAGTCGTCTAGATTTAACATGTTTTCCACTTTAAGACTCGCATATAACCACTAACGATACGTAACGCTGAGCCCTTGTCTTCGCGGGGGTATTAGTTACATGCCGGAACGTAACGACAGAAAAAAACGTGATAGGAAATTGTAGATTTTACATTTTTGCCGGTCTTGAATATCAGGGCGCCGATCGGGCTTTCAAATTAACGTGGGTACGCTCTCAACGGTAATGTAAAATTCTTGTATGGACGTCAAGCGCTTTGCCCTACACTCGTATTAAACGAGACGAGAGGTTCTGGAAAAGTAGAGAAAGAAAACGTGACAGCCTTTAATGGGAAATCCGAGCTCATCTTTCGCGCCGGCTCCTGTAGAAGCGATCGAGCCTCACTATTACCTGCCAGGTCTCGCTTGCACACCTCCGTTACGAAAGTTGGCAGGTATCGCTTTTGGTTGATGTGTATAGCTTTTACTTAACGCCAAGTTTGGTTCTGATTTTTTTTTTCGTTTTGTTTTTAACTGTATTTGATGGTGTGTCTGACAGTTTGGTTCCTTCTTCCCTCTTTCTTCCCTTCTGTTCCAATCCCCTTTTCCTTTTTTTCTCCCCCGTATCCCTTTCCCTCTTTTTTTTATTTCGTTGCAGCCCCTACGAAGCGTACGTGTCCCAAGTTTTCTTTGGTTTCGGGCATCCCTTGGTTTGTTCGTTTGTTTCTTAAGTTCTTCGTGTTTATTTTAGTGTCGAACAAAGTTATCGCTTCCGTCTTCAACTTATTGTTTTTTTTTTTTTATGTTTACGTGAATTTTATTTTTCGATGAAGTATGGAAGCGCCGTGGATTGTAGGAGTATAACTGATTTGTCATGTAGCAGGGATTACTTTTTCCCTGTTTTTTTTTTTTTCCTGTCTAGTTTACCTGGGGAAGGCAGGGGAAATGGGGAAAAACTAGGGATTGCCCCTGCTCAATGTCTGGTTTTTGAATGTACCTCATCTGAAAGACTTGCATCAGTGGCCGAATTTTCGGATGCACGCTGAGTTGTAGGGCAACGTTGGTTTCTTCGTAGCTTTATTTTTGTAAAACAAAAATCTTCGTGACCCTTAAAAAAAAACACAAAACCTAGGAAACAATTTTTTTCTACCTGGCGAGGACAGGACAGGTGGTCGGTGCGTCGATTAGTGCATCACTGATCACCTTCCAGCGCGCCCTTCGCCGTCGTTTTTTTTTGTTTTTTTTCGGCGAAGTTAGTTTGCTGAGAGTTTTACTAACGCACTCCCGGACGATGTTTGATTTGGCTTCCCCGACTACATCCCGAGGGTATCGTTTCCGTGCACGGGTCTTCATATGCATTCATCGGGATTTGGATACAGTAGATTTCCCACAGGCAGAAAACACATGAAAACTGACCTTCAAACCCTTCCCGACTCTTTTGGCACAGCCCCCGTCGCGGCGTTTTGACGAGACATCAGGTTTTTGTCCAGTTCTTTCCAAAACAACACGGGATTGCACGTCCCGCATGGTGTGAATTCTGCTGACTTACCCACTGCCAAGGACCGAAAGTGCGTCCGACGCACCACCACCGCTCCGTGACGTAACATATCTGAGTTCGTGTAGAGTAGCACCGCCTAGAAGACAAGCCCCCAGTGCTAACATTTTTGCGTCACCAGCGAAGGCCAACGCTGGGCACAGATTGGCAACGAGTACTGCGTCAGCACTCGGCTGCTAATCGGGTTGGAGCCGAACGTTGACACAATCGCCGTGTCCAATCTGTGCCCAGCGTTGGCCTTCGCTGGTGACGACATCTCTGTCAGCACTACGGCTTTGTTGTCTAGGAGGTGTCGACTAGAGTCGGGTACAAACGCTATCATCATCATCACACAGGGGTACAATTTCGGTTTCGCCTCCAAATCGGAAAATTCGTATTGGATCGTTAATATTGGGCGAAAAAAAAGTTGTTTTTTTTTTTTTGGACGAACATACATTTTGAGACATGCCTGTACTAACCAGGTAAAAACGAAAAAATATATACTTTTCTTTGCGTTTAGTGTTTTTTTTTAAGGATTGGCGAATTTTCTTTAGCGCTGTTCCAGCCTCCCCGAGCTTTCTTTCACCGTCTGCCTCGTTACTTTTGTTTAATTCCAGTGCCTAGGTGTGTATTCTTTAAGCTCTAGCAAGAGACCGATATAGTTTCACGAGGAAAGGGAACCTAGAATCTAATAACAATCCTTGATTTGTAAATTTGCCCTTTGTGGATTAAGCTTTCCAGGTTAAGAAACTTCATCGGAGCCTGATATTTTAGCGATAGCCATTCGCAAAACCTAAAAATATTAAATTATCTTTTTTTTTTTTTTTTTTGTAAGTTTAAAGTTCTAACTGAATTCGTAAATAGTAAAAAATAAACACGAAGTTTGTATTTTATTAACAATGCTTTTAACTTCCCGATTTTCCCCGCTCGGGTGCTGTTCAACAGCGAATATAAAAATCGGACAAAAAAATCTAGACGGAACGCACTCAACGAACATTTGGGAAACATATTCTCTCACTGAGGTAATTTGCGGTCGGTGCGTCGATTAGTGCATCACTGATCACCTTCCAGTGTGCGCTTCTCCGTCATTGTTTTTTTTTTTTAGCAAAGTCAGTGTGTTGTGTGTTTTATGCTGCGCTTCCGGATAATGTTTGGTTTGCCTTCCCCGATTACATCCCGGGAGTGTCGTTTCGGTGCGCGGGTCTGCATATGCATTCATCGGGATTTCGCTACACTAGATTTCCCACAGGTGTACGCAGTGTCGGGGATCAGGTAAGTGTCGAAATAAAACGCACAAAACAAAAAATCTTAGTCCCCTGGGCAGAGGGTGTCGTCTCGACTTCGCTAGCTTTGTGGCCTCTTGCCTTGCCGTTCGCCGGAAATGTTTTTTTTTTTTTTTTGATGCTTTCAACCCACAGAACATTTACAAGTTTTCTTTTTTTTCTTCTTTGCAACATGAATTTACATTTTACATGTCTTTAGACTTTCTTTTTTATTTCGTTGAACAAATAAAAGTTAGATACAAATAGCAAAGACACTCCCAAAATCACACGCGCAAAAAGGCAGGCGGAAACACGTATACAATGATAGTGAGCGGTGTAAAGCAAAAATGAATCGCGGAGGCACGCGCCGGTGTGCAAGGTTCTGAAGAACTAACAGCTGTTGTCGGCATCTCGGACTGACTGCACCTGAACTGATGTTAACGAGCTCTACTGGTCAGTAATGTTTTTCCACCTCTACACAATCTATACTGTAGCCGCTACCAGCTTATTAAATGCAGTGAGGGGCGTGTCCCTAGAATCTAATTAACGCTCCGCGGCCAATCAGATCGCGACGTTGGCCGATAAGAATAGCCAAAGAGCGAATCACAAACCGAGATGCGTGTACACAATAAGCCGCGCTTTGCGTCTCTGACGCTCTCACTGGCAATAAATAATTATACATAAACTCAAAGCTAAGAAAGAAGAGACCATACTTCGTCTCAACTTCGGTCCGAGCCCGGCCAATGTTGTACGCCAAAGGGCCAATCGAAGAGCGCAAAAAGCGCAGCGTCATGGCGTGCTCTCTGCTCTTGAGAGGACTAGCCGGCGGAGGAGCACGCACAGAGAGACGGCGAGGCTGGTCCTATCAACTGCAGAGAGCGCGCCATGACGTTGCGCTTCTTTCGCTGTTTGATTGGCCCTTCGGCTCATAACATCGGCCGCGCTCGGAGCGAAGCTGAAACGATGTATAGGCATTATTAACCACACGCAATACTGGAAGGCAGCTATGGTGGTTCAGGAAAACGACACTTCCGGAGTAACTAGAGAAAGTAAATCGTTACATTTGAGTTGTCGTGACGCGTTCCTTTTGAATATTAGTAACGGGTAATGTACCTTGTTACTTTTAGAGCGAGTAGCGAGTAACGATATTCAGTTAGCCTTTTTTTTAGTAAAGTGTACATGTGTAATAAATATGCGGACTTGTTTTCTTTTTTGTTGTTGCTTGTTTTGGTTTCGACGCATTTATTCTTACACAACAGCCTGCTCCAGAAGAAGGTTCAGGATGCGTCTGTATTTCCGCGAGGGAACGCTACTCCACACTTAAGGCACGACCACATTGGCGTCGCGGAGGCCTGGGGCCCGACGGTGGGCGCGGCCGGCTGCCGACCAAAACCAGTTTTCGGGTTCAGCGGCGCGACGTACCGCGCCGCAGAGCCAACCGGTCCTTGCGCGGTTCGGAGCTCGCCGCTCCTCGCCGCAGAAGAGAGGATCCAATGGGAGGTGGCGTAGATAGTGACGTCGCGATGCCATGGCAACGCTCAAGCCGGTCCCCCGCGCGTCTTTCACGTTCCGAAGGACGTGTTTCGTGTCGTCTGCTCTCCCTATTTCCCCCCGATGCCTTCCCCAACGGAGCGGTTCCTCGAAACTGTGCGACTGTTTCCCTTTTTATATGACAAGACGCAACGACTGGGAAATTATAGGAGAGGAATTCGGAATTACAAGTGAGTTTCTCCGTGGCACTTGTTGCATGTCGTCTGTGTTGTGACGGATGTCGTGTTGATTTGGTGACACTTTCGAAAGTAGCCTTGATCTCTGGCGCGCCGCCGGGGCAGCAAAGCACTGTCCTGTCCTTCGGTGTTTCGGTAGAACCAACTCGGCCGGACCCAATGCCTGCGCCTCGTTCCCTTCAGAGCGCGGCGACGTCGCAAGATCAACGAGCAGGCTAGGATAATCGCATTCACGCTGATCACCATGTCATCATGGACTCCTACCATGTAGGCAGCGAGTGCGGAACGGAAGAACGTAACGAATAGAAGACGACGAAAGAGCGGGAAATCCGACGGGAGGCGCGATCGCGGGATCCAGTGCTGTCACGTGACGCCTGCAAAAGGGAGGTCAATGTGGACTCCTCGCGTTGGGACGCCGGACGGCGGCGCCGTTCACGCTAGTGCGGTCAGGCCTTTAGAGAAGATTCGTGTTTACTCGTACCCCCGAAATGTTCGACGCTCGAACATTCCAGGACCGAATGTTCGAGATAACGTGTGTAATAGATGAAGAACCCGGCATGACCTTGCCCAGTCTGTCTCGGACTCGCTCGGACTCTCTTGTGCTAGTCCAGCCGTCACGCCGACACCTCGGCGCTCGCTGCTGCTTTCTCGACGCTTGCTCTTTCTTTTGTTTCTCGCACAAGTTCGCCGAATAACCTTTTATTTTCGGTTCTACGCTCGTCTGTCCTGTTTCACCCGCGGCAATGTGGCCTGGTGGAAATGAGATCTTCGTCTTGTACTACGTTGGCAGCTGTCGGCCGAGGAAGGCCGGGAGTTTCAGCGAGACAGCGGTACGAGTTTTAGTGTCGTTGCTGTGGTTGGCACGTTACCCCCGTGCCATTGTGTGTTTCTAGGTATTTCTAATCTGGACCAAGAATAAAGCGTCGGGGCGAAACGAACGACCCGTATAAGCACGCCTCCCCGAAGCGAACTTTGCACTAAGCAGAAATGGCAGGGCGGTTAGGCGAAACTTTGATTGGCAGGTTTCATTACTGTACCTCATTGTCGGTCGTTTCTATGGGGATTTTGCTATGTCAGGCTGTCCTTAGCAAGAAATTGGTCCTATAGATTTTTTTTTCTAGTTGCAACATTTCTTCCTTTTTTGCCT